GTGGTCACGCTAAATGTTTACAAAGCTAAATGTTTACAAATCGTAGAGCCGGGTTTCTATTAGGGGCAGATAATTTAGTTCGATTTTAAACTTACAGGAGGTAACTAAGAGGAGGCTGCTTTCACGGGGGGGGGGGGGAGTAGTGTTTTAAAGCAAATATTTTCAGTGGCAGCATTGGTACTGTCGAATTCACAAATTGTGAATTACTGAAAAGTAGAAAATAAAACAACTAAATCGCGGCGTATGATACGCAGCGGGTCGGCTCGTCTTTTTAACTACTAGCGTTGCCGCGGGAATAGAAGAAAGTCTGACGATAAATATAAGAAGGGTTTCATCAATGCGTTACCAACCCTATATTTTTAGACGCGTGACCTTGTTTTCGAAAACTGAGTTATCTAAATGTAAACAATGCCTGCGCTTGAATCATAAATATCGGGACACGGGTTTACCTACACTACCGCATGAAAATCTCGAGTGTACGTTAATCACTCACCAAAATAATGAGGTAGAACACACTTCGGTAACTGCCGATGTGTCAGGGACGTAGAGGAGCGCTCTCGGGAGCCCCCCGATTACACTACCGCAAATTGTCCGTGTGCTCCTTAAAACTAACATAGGCGCCATAGTGCTCACACGATAACCCAGAGCACCACATTGCACCCTGAAACAATGATACAGATTGCGTCATTCGCTAAACAACTTATACAAATCAACCGGTTTTTTTCTTTAACACGTAAAAAAATTTGACGTGTTATAAACATCAGTGTGACTAATGCACTTTGTTAGCATTACTAATGGTGTATTATTAGAAGCTCGATCTCAATTTCTGATTTGATCGTCTAAAAATAGATGCTAATTGCATCATTCGCAAAGTGATGAAATTGTTTAATTTTTTTCTTTACGGACAAAACAAAACAACCCACTTAATAATCTAACCTTGGTTAATTTTTCTGATTATTAAAAAAATGTAATACGGGGCCCTCAGCGGCCCATGTGAGCCTTTGGGGGATGAAACTGAATTTTTTGTTCGCAGCCAAATCGCACCCTACCATGGCGCCGGTGGACACACCTTATTTAATTTAGTGAGCGACTTAACGCCCCATCCTATCCATTGTCTATCACATTGTTTAGAACGAACGTAGTCGCCATAGCGCTCACTGGAAAGACCAGGGCGCCAAATCGCATCCTGCCGGGAGATGCCCGTGCGAAATTACCCCCCCCCCCCCAGAACCCTTCTTGAGAGTATTCATCAACTCCCTATAGTTTTCTGGCACTCTGACTAGTCCACCCAGCTCTGATGGGTGCCTGAGTCCACCCAGCCTTGATGGGTACCTGACTCTAGTCCACCAAGCTCTGATGGGTACCTGACTCTAGACCACCCAGCTGTGACGGGTACCTGACTCATATTAGGGAAATACAGACCTCAATCTGATTGTGAGAAAAATAAAAAAATAAAAGAGGATTCAGAGTATCTTGAATCTGTTGAAAATAACTGTGGCGTTCTTTCCCTGAGCTGAAGGCAGAGGAATCTGCATTGACACGTTTCCTATTTTCTGCTTCCCTTGATGTTGCCAGTATTCCCGATGAACTGCAAGACACATTCTTAAAGTTGCGGAAAGATGTCGAGGCTAGTAAAAAGCATGTAATTTCACTCATAGTATTAAAACAGTTATCAAGAATAATTGTCTACTAGAAATTCTTAGTTTAGTTCTTATTAATTTCCTTACTTATTTCGAATTTTTAATTCCATGGGGATCGCGGGTCACTCACTTTTTATTAAATGGGGTCGCCACTCGAAAGAGTTTAGGAACCACTGTCTTTAACAGTTACAACCGTAATTGATTGTTTTGACAGGTGTCTCTTTATTTAGGGGATCCACAATTTTATAAGAGGCGTATATTCAGGTTAGAGACTAGCAATTACATGTATGTTATCAAAATTGAGTAGAAGTATGTTATAATAAAGCTACAATGTTTTGACTTTCAAACAAAACCTATACTATAAGCAGTAAATCAGTAAAATATATTGTTTTGTAACAGTTACATAGCTAATACAAATATTTGTTACAATTATTACGTAATGAAATTTAAAGCGTTTTATTATGTTTTTCAAGCATGTCTTAGTTACAGTTGGCTAATTTAGCTATTCTTATGAAAGTTATTTCCCTTGAATAGAATTTTGTTATTTGGAGTTCCAAATGGGAGATAATTCTCTGCTTAACTTTACATCTATTTCAAATTTCTGCACCTTAGGTTGACTGCTTACTTATAAATATAACTTTAAGTTGTTATTTTCAATTGTACAAATTATTTAGAGCAGAAGTTCTAAATAAAATAGTTTAAGTAAGTAGTAAAGTTCCTTTTTCAAACCTGACGGTCTATAGGGCAAGTGAAGTAGAGTTCACTTGTTTCTATTACCTCGGTATATGAAGCGATAATGTGGTCAGCACTATGCCCAGCCGCCTTTACTTTCCCTAACGTGAGTTAGGTACCCATCAGAGTTGGGTGGACTCAGGGACGGTCTACTGACTTGAGCCCGGATTCCAACTCGTGACTTACGGGTTAGCAGTCCAGCTCTCTACCGCTAGACCACTCCGCCGGTCACTGTTTCTAAAGGGTATGTTTTACAATTACACTATCAAGGAAGAAAAGAGTTGAATAAGTATGTAAAGGCTTGTAACCATTACATTTCTTAACTTAGACTGTTTATAATTAAAAACTACAACATAAAATCAAGTTTAAAAAAAAATTCCGCCCCTTTTGGCGCCCCCTAGGGTCGGCGCCAGGGACGCCCCCTCCCCCCCCCCCCCCCCAGCTACGCATCTGTTCTGGAACTCACCTTGGTAGATCTGCAGATAGCCAACACTACAAGAACTGTGGGTTTTTTAAAAGTGTTTTTTCCAGACTGTTTTCTCCTGGGAGATATAGGAACAATTTCAATAGAATTTGATTACGCTTGCAAACTGGAATTAAAGGAATTAGCACAAATTTTGCGACGAAGGAAGCAAGTAAAATTTGATTTTGATGTCTACTTACAATATCCATGCAATTGATAATAAATAAATATGTCACTTTAAATTAACTGTTTTCTTATACATATGTTTTATTAATTAATTTGTTTGAAATGGGGCTTTTAATAAGTTTTGCCAAGGGCGCTAAATAATCTGGCGGCGGCACTGTCTACGCCTATGTCTATGTGTTTAAAAAAAAATTAACTAGCAGCAGTAACAATTTGTTCGAAAAATATCGGGAGAGTTTTAACATTTTTACCAAACATCGAGTTCATTTCAATTTTAAATTGAATTAAACCCCTGAACAGTTCTCAGACTTGAAAAAAACTCAACGTTTACTGACCAAAGAGCCTGGGGGCTGCCCCTCCCCTCTCTCGCTGCAGCGTGTCGTGACCGCCGTGTGCTATGATTGTGTCAACAGCGACAACAAAGATAATTAAATTGTTTTTGCGCTAGCGACTTTGTACGGGAAAATCCGATGCGAGTCTGGGGTTTCCCGATCGCGTGTTTTATTATCTGTTGTTTCATTTTTATCTGGACCACGGCTTAGGACTTCCTTAAGTTTTTAGTTAAAAATAAAATTTAACACGAGACTTTTTGGCTAGCAGTCGTGAGCCCTACCAATCTACCACGCCAGTTGTATGTTATAGAATAAAAAAAAATATTCCAGATGGTCATTCGTGATTTTTTAAATCTTTAAAAATTTCAAAACTAGTCACATTTCATTGAACAAAATTTAGGAAAAAATTTCTAGACTAGAAACTGCTAGAGTCGCCGTTTGCTGTTTAACATAATTATACTCGTACTATGGCAGTGCACTGTCTGTGGCGATAGCTATAAACAGAACGAGACATGGTGCGTCAGTCACTACCTGGACGTCAACAACACTGTCTATGCCTAATAAAATATGATGTTCTCCTCTGTGGTTTTGCTGAGACATGCAGAGTATAAAAACTAACGACAACAAAACTTCAGACTTTCATTAACGGATGCTTGTGTCGTAGATTTTGGGTGGCCTGAAAATTTACCAATACCGTACTGTGGAGAAAAAAAAATGGGCAAGACAGAGGAGTAGCGAGGGTGGGGGGGGGGGTGGGGGGGGGGTGGGGGGATGCGGACTGCACCGAGTGACACCATTTGGGGGGGGGTGACACTAAGGCAAAAAATAGCAAAATATATAGAGTAAAACTTGAGGGAGGGTGCAAATCGAAAGTTTGAGGGGGGTGCAAATCGAAAATTTGTCCACGGGAAGGGTCACTACGCCTTTGGGCGGGGGGGGGGGGGTTACACCATTAAGTGCCGCACCGGGTGACACCTCGCTATGCCACTGGGACAAGACACTATTGGCAAAGAAATACAAAAGCGTAAATGTGGATGGATTGGATACACCCTTCGTAAACCAACTAGCAACATCACCAGACAGGCACTAGACTGGAATCCCAAGGAAAGAGGAAAGTAGTTGGGTAAAAAAAAAACATGGAAAGGTCAGCTTTCAGTGAAGCAGAATCAGCTGGAATGACGTGGGCCAAACTTGAAGGAATCCTCGCGAACCGAGTACGACGGAGAGGTGTGTTTGCGAACCTATGCTCCACAAGAGATCTACAGGAATGATTATAAAGATGATGATGGGTCGGCGTGGTCGGGTCGGTAAAGCTCATGGTTGCTAAACCGAAAAGTTTCGAGTTCGAACAGATAAGACTCTATAGCTGGTGGTGACAGCAACCTTTCTAGGAGAGAAAACTCCAACATCATACATCTCTGCCTTGTAGTTTGTGCTTGGTTGGAGAAAAGGCTATGTAATCAAATTCAGAAAGAAAAGCTGGCTGAAATCGGAGTCGACGTTGACGCGTGATTCTTAAATTTATTGTATGAAACTTCTTTCAACATTAGAGTTAAGAACGAAGAGGGAGAAAAAGATGTTTTAATCACAACAAGAAAACAGGAATATGTTCAATTAATTTAATGAGTGTTACTTGTACAAGTGAAATCAAATCGTACTCTAAATGTGTACACTTCGTACCTGTACATAACTTTTGTACAGGTGGTTAAAAGACTTTGAAGCAATCACACGCAGACACATACACACATAAGTGACAGTTTATTCTACTAGATCAATGAAGGTTCGCTCTAAACTGACCATAATCTGTCTAGTCACATGGAAGAATCGATTCTTTAATTAACCAGATGTTCAACACTAACTGACTTGTAAGAGTTAGGGTTAAGGTTGACATGTATACTAAGCGGTCCCGCAGTAACTGGTCCAGAAAACATTCATGTCCTCATCATCAATACTAGGCTACTAAACCAGCACAACTAACTTATGGTAAATTTGGTATTTATATGGTTATTTGGTAGTGAACTGTTGTGAATATCCGCCAATGTTATCTAGTTTTAATGATGTCCGTATTTCCGGTGTGTATGGAAGAATTACCTTCCATATGAAAATATTTTATCCATGATATTTGCACTAATTATGTGGTAATAATTCCCTTCAGCTTTACTTGACTTGATAAATAAATTAAAATCTCCTGACATTTTGTATAGTTAAAAAGGAATATAAAAAGCTTGATATCATATTTTAAAAATCTTTGTATATGCCTGTTCGCTAAAGAGTTCTCTGTTTATCAATTTGTTGGTGCTGTCCCTTGATTACTAAAGAGTTCTTTGTTTATCAATTTATTGGTGCTGTCCCTAGATCACTAAAGAGTTCTCTGTTTATCAATTTGTTGGTGCTGTCCCTAGATCACTAAAGAGTTCTCTGTTTATCAATTTGTTGGTGCTGTCCCCTGATGGCGATTCTGTTGACATGCACGGGGATGGGCACGACGATCTTCGTCTTCTGCTGCCCGGGGGTCACCGGACCGGAAGTGTGGTTTGAGACGCGGGAGTGCAGGTTCCCGGCCTTGACCCTCTTCCATTTCGCTCGTCTGTTCTGGAACCAGATTTTAACCTGCGGAATAAAATGTTGAAAATTTCAAACTTGGGGAAAATTAAGTAGGGGATACGATTACTGTAATCATTTTTACCGGGTGAACCTTCACATGAGCGCGGTGATATTAAGATAATGTTTTAGTAAAATATGTGTTATAGATTCACAACAAAATAGAACCATGTGTTTCTGTGGTATCATACAGCGAATATTTATCTTAAGTGCAATGAACTCATCATTAATGTTCAAAACAAATTTAATTAATTAGCAAACTATGGCTAGAAAAGATTAGGTATTAAATAGACCATTACATAATAATATTTTTTTTTTGCAAACAGTGAATGTACAATGTACATTTCATCATCATGTCTACGTTAGTTGCCAATACACACGGAGCAGATGAAGTAGTGTTCATCTGTTTCAATGAACTCGGCATGCAAAGAGGATAATGTGGTCATTTAATCTACTGCACCATACCGCCTTTGTTTCCATAACTAGAGTCAGGTTTTGAATGAACTTGTAAATATATGGAAGGCCGAAAATTATTCTTCATGAATGATAGACCATTTGGCAAACGAAAATTTCTTTTCTGGAAGGAAGGGGGGGGGGGGGAGAGGGGGAGGCATTTGACTCGTACATTGCTTAGAAGTAAAACTATGGCATACATTTTGATCAGATTTGAAAAAAATATATGACTTACCTGAACCTCACTGAGACGTAATTGGAAAGCTATGGCAGACCGTTCCGTCAACGACAAATATTTCTTGCTGTGAAATTCTTTCTCCAGCTCCAGGAGCTGGTCGCTGGTGAAAGCCGTCCGGCGCCGGCGGGACTTCCCGCCCGCGTTCCCGTCATCCTCGGTCTCATCGTCGTCTTCATTGTCACTGGCGTGTAGGGGTGCATTGTTGGGCTGGGTGGTGCTCTCGAGTGTTGTGTCAGTCTGGGTCACGTGATGACCGTGGAGATTGATTAGGTTAGAATGGATGCTGTTCTTCTCGCGTGAATGCGACGAGTGGCTGGGGGACGGGATGGGATGGGATGGGGTCGGGGTATTACCCGGGGTGTCTGTTTTTCCTTCCATCGACGGGGAGAGTTCTTTTTTATTTTCCCGCGCGCGATTTCCCGGGGAAGTTTTGGATCGGGTGTTGTTATCATGGGAAAATAGAGGCGGTTGGTTTTTGAGTGTTTCGGAGATGTACACCAGGTGTTGATGATCGGAATCGGAAAGACCTTGACCTCTGTTGACCCACCAGAAATTCGGGTCTGGGAGTAGGTGTCGTGGGTTTCCCGGGTTGAAGGGGTGGATCATGGAGTGGTACCTGGTCGGGTCGTAGCTGAGGGGTGTGTTTTTAGTCGACTTGTGGAAGAGAGAATTTGTTCGTAGAGAGTGGACGTAATGGTGAGCTGAAGTTGAAAATGGGTGCAGGAAGTCTTGTGAGAGTTCCATGGGAGTGGGGAAACCCAAGGCGTTGGTGCCTGTGGGGGTGGGGGTGGCACTGTCGAACCCAATGTCTGCAGGCAGATCGGTACCGCTGTTGTGGTTTTTCGATGCGGCGCTTACGGAGTTTTCCGCGTTAGCTGGGGAACCAGGTTCAACAGAATCGTTTCCAGACGTCTGCCGGATTTGACCTTGAAATGTTCTAGAATGTCGGAAATCCTGGCTTTCGCCGTCTTCGGTATCACTGTATTTTCTTTTTCTACACCCCTCCGATTCGTTAAATTCTTTGGACCGATACTTTTCTGGAGAACTGGAATGGTCTATTTGAGAAAACAGATGGGGGTGGAAAGGTTCGTGACGCAAGCAATCCAAGCCTTCAACGTTTTTGTTCGTTGCGTCGTCTGAACGGGACGAATGACGCAACGTGATGACGTCACAGACTGGACTGAATCCCACCTTGTCGGTTCTGTGATCGTGTCGTGTGCTGCTCGCCAGAGACCGAATCCCACCGTAGGTGGTTTCTGCTCCATCGACGTCATCGTCCGACGAATTGAGTGGTAAAAAAGTTGAATCGAACCTGCGCTCCCTCGACGATTCACATGGCGATTCAACAGCCGGACGACCGGACGGCATAATAGCCGGACGACCGGATGGCATAATGGTCGAACGACCGGGTGACTCGGCAGCCTGTTCGGGTGGGTGAGAGTGGGATGGCGGGTAGAAACCGGAAGTTGAAGACGAATCCATGGAAACGGATGGTGGAGATGGTTGACATGGTTCGCTTGACTTCCTCTCAGCCGTGGACTGGTCCCCTGCAGATGGAAACATTTGAGAATTTAAAATATTATTTCTAAAGTTCTTGCGTCGCATAAGAACCAGTTGTCACAAAATTAATATACGGCTAAAAGTGTATTTGAGTTGTTTTAAACGTTTGGCTAGAGTATGTTATACAGAAGACATTTTAAGGTTCCCTGCCGGCTATAGCTTCAGAGTTTCTTCAAGGCATCTTTTCGGGTTAGAGTTACTTGTGCGTGTGTGTGTGTGTGTGGAATGGTGTGTGTATGTCTATGGTGTGTGTGAGGTGTGTGTGGTATGTGTGTGGTGTTTGTGTGGTGTTTGGTGTGTGTGGTGTGTGTGGTGTGTGTGGTATGTGTTAGGTGTGATGTGTGATGTGTGTGTGTGGTATGTGTGTGGTGTTTGTACGTGTGTGTGTGTTGTATGAGGTGTGTGTGAGGTGTGATGTGTGTGTGGTATGTGTGTGATGTTTGTGTGTGTATGTGTGTGTGTGTGTCACAAGTGTAGATTTAGGGATGTCGAGAGAGTTGCGTGTCTGTGTGTGATGTGTGTGGATGTCGTTGTGTGTGTTAGTTGGTTGTATGTGTTTGTTGTATGTGTGTGTCATTGTATGTGTGTGATTAATTAATTATGTGGTTATATGTGTATTGTTATGTCTGTTGGTATGGTGTGTGTATAATTATGAGTGTGGCTGAGTGTGTGCTCTCAAGTGTGTGTGTGTTTGCGTAGTTGTGTGTGTTTGTGGTTGTTCGTGTGGTTTAGCGTGTGAGTTTTGATGTGTGTGTGTGAGTGTGTGTTGCACCAAATGACTTTTGCTTTTCAACTGTTGCATTAGTTAATGTATACTTATGTAAAACTTTCAAAGAACGGAGCGATCTAAGCTGACTGAAAACACTTTTTCCTGCATAATCTCAGATGGATTATGTATAACTTATAATCGCCATAAGACAACATACTGGGGCCCGAAAATTTATTCTGGGCCCAACAGCAACGAACACAAAAGATTAAAAGTTTCAAAGATTATTCTCATTCAATTAGTGTTTTGTTTCCTAAGATGTTTGCACGCTTTATTTAATTGTTCCATGTTTTTTAGAATTAAGGGGAGATCACCTCAAAAGATCAATGACATAACACAGCTTGGCAACAGAGGAAACTCAAGATTTCTCTTTTTTCTTTCTTTCACGAGCAAACGCTCACGTGTCTGCTGAGCTCAATCGATCGTCTGCGTCACCTTGTCATGGTTTATTGACAGCCCAACTGTCAGCACGCGTCTAGAGGTCATCTTATCGTTTTGTACTTGAAAGGACCGGCAAATGTCGTTACTTCTGCCGGCTTAGCCTAGAACTTACAATGCAGTAAATAATATTTATGTTTCTGTCATTTTCGTATGTCTTTTTATAGAGAGCCGGGCGATTGAATACCGGGTTAGCGAGTTAATCCGATTTGGGTTTTGAGTTTTTCTAGTACCTGGCCATTTCTATCAGATTAGGCTTAGTGTTGGTTCATTCACACGAGAATGAAGAAGAAGAAAAAAGTATGGAATACCGATAGCGTTAGAATGGTGGAAAATGATGAAAAGAGATTTAACGTTCGCGTGGTTTTGAATGTTCAAAGAAGGGGGTTCTCTGAAGCATGGTTAAAGGGGGTTTCATCCAGTATGTCGCCAGTGGACGACGCTCGTCTTCAGTGAGTTGTGACTGGGGGTATTCACCGCAAGTCTGTTGGCGTTAATGGAGCCATCAGTGGGAGAAATAGAGGATTTGCTGTCGGTGTTGAAAGGGGGGGGGATGACGATGTGAAATGAAGGATTTGATCTTTTGTCATAAAGTTGGTGATGGTGGTGGGGTGGTGGGGGTGGTGGGGAGGGGGGAGGGAGAATGTCTGGGTTCTAACAAGAACACATCTGTGTGAAGTTGAAGGTAATCCTTGCATAATAAGGACGTGTAGATAGGTTGGTGGGTTGGTTGGTGAATTGGTTGGTGGATGCGTTGGTGGGTTGGTTGGTGGATTGGTTGGTGGGTTGGTTGGTGGATTGGTTGGTGGATGGGTTGGTGGATTGGTTGGTGGGTTGGTTGATGGATTGGTTGGTGGATGGGTTGGTGGATGCGTTGGTGGGTTGGTTGGTGGATTGGTTGGTGGGTTGGTTGGTGGATTGGTTGGTGGATGGGTTGGTGGATTGGTTGGTGGGTTGGTTGGTGGATTGGTTGGTGGGTTGGTTGGTGGATTGGTTGGTGGATGGGTTGGTGGATTGGTTGGAAAATTGGTTTGGTGGATTTGCTCTCGGTGTTGAAAGGGGGGGGGGGGATCTGGATGTGAAATGAAGGATTTGATCTTTTGTAATAAAGTTGGTGAAGCTGGTGATGTTGACTGTGGTGGGGGTGGTGTGGAGGGGGTGGGGGGGGGGGGGAGAATGTCTGGGTTCTAACAAGAACACATCTGTGTGAAGTTGAAGGTAATCCTTGCATAATAAAGACGAGTAGGTTGGTTGGTTGGTTGGTTGGTGGGTGGGTTGGTGGATTGGTTGGTAGATTGGTTGATGGATGGGTTGATGGATGGGTTGGTGTATTGGTTGGTGGATGGGTTGGTGTATTGGTTGGTGGTGTGTGATTTGTTTGATGGATAAGTTGGTGGATTGGTTGGTGGTTTGGTTGGTGGATTGGTTGGTGGATTGGTTGGTGGATTGGTTGGTGGATTTTTTGGTGGATGGATTTGTGGATTGGTTGGAGGATTGGTTGGTGGATTGTTTGATGTATAAGTTGGAAGATTTGTTGGTGGATTTGTTGGTGGATTGGTTGGTGGATTGGTTGGTGGATTGGTTGGTTGATGGGTTGGTGGGTTGGTTGGTGGGTTGGTTGGTTGATTGGTTGGTTGATGGGTTGGTGGATTAGTAGAATGATGATAAGGTGTGTGATGGTGCTATGATTAAGTGGGATGTGTAATGGTTAATTGGTTGGATGGGGCTAAGATGTCATGTGTGATGGCGAACTGATTAGGTGGGTCTAAGGTTGATTGGCATGTGTGATGGCGAACTGATTAGGTGGGTCTAAGGATGATTTGCATGTGTGACGGTGAAGGTGATTTTACCAGATGGTGGTATTTTTAGCTTGAATATAATAATGTTGGGATTTCTACAAAGTTAGCCCTGAGACCATATTTGTTTACACTTAAACCTCAAGCTGAAAATAATATAACCGGATGGCGCAGTCTTCTGTGGTGATTTCTAATTGTAACCTAGGAGTAACAATCTTCTTCCATTATATGAAGTCACAAAGTCCAGCCAGTTCTGTTAGGTAACTACTTGTTCAAGTTGGGGAATGTATAGACCACTAAACACAAAGCTGACAACCCAATCCATTAATCTGCCAAGGATGAAGGAACAGATGTAGGCTATGCTATTTTGTACTTTTACTTTTGTTTGATTTTTTTGTTTGAATTTTTTGTTTGAATTTTTGTGTTTGAAATTTTTGTTTCAATATATGTAATGGTTAAAGTATAACTGAGAGACTGCTTGTGATGTTATATGATTTTATGGTGTGTGTATTTTTGTGTTTGGAGTGGTCAGTGACAACTGAAGTAATGGGATATTTGTTGTTATTTCAAATGCGTATGTTTAGTCAGTGTCGCCAGTAGTCGCCATATCATCACTGTTTTAATATGGTGTTATTTTTTTCAGAGACAAATCTGATACTGTTGTGAATTACGCTAGCATTGATTCAGTTAATAAGTCATAATTAATGTTAATAATTAGAAGCAAAAAGTTGTTCCTATCGTAATTCTATCGTAATTATTTATACAGTGTATATGGGTTTAGATATTAAGCTACAAGGATAAAGTTTTATAAAAATCAACTCGGGAAATCCCTTTTCCCAACGTGTTGCTTTCTATTGCGAAAATCTTAATTCAAAATATGTAACAATCACAACCCGTAACTTATGGCCTACTTTACGGGCTAATTTGCTAGTAAAACAAAAAAATCAACAACTCATTCAATAAAAGTTTTTTTTTTTTTAATAGCTCGTTGACTTTTAGATTTTCTAAAAATAAATACATTGCACATTTATATATAGATCTATAAACTGTAAAAATAGTATGTAGGGATTGCCACAGTAGCTTAACCTCCCGTATCAAGCAATTATAACGACATTAAACTTTTTTAATGAAGACATTGACACGTCTAACGGAAGTCGCGACACAAGCCCAACAATACTAACGACAACATAAATCCGGCATAATTTCTTTTTAAGGATATCACCCCCGGTCCCATTCACGCCCCGGCGTTATGAGCTGATAGGCAGAAGTCGCCCAAGCGAAGAGAAGGCAATTTCTGGTCTGAAAGCCCTTTTTTCATCCCGCGGTCCCGGCGTGGCTTTTTGAAACGGGAGATGTCTTGGCTTGGCAGGTTTTTGTGTGTGTGCGTGTGTGCGTGTGTGTGTGTGTGTGTGTACGTGTGTGTGTGTGTGTGTGTGTGTGTGTGTGTGTGTGTGTGTGTGTGTGTGTGTGTGTGTGTGTGTGTGTGTGTGTGTGTGTGTGTGTGTGTGTGTGTAGATTGTCACCCTGTTGGAAAGTTGTTCAAGTGGCCGTTGGATACGGTGAAGCGGCTGGCCAAAACAAAACAAAACAAAAAATAAACGACGAAGACTTAAAGGGGCTTGAACGCTAGGCGGAAGTGATGGGAACCGCGCATGCGCAAAATGCAAAACATGTTCCGGTTGGCTTGTGTGTGTGTGTATGGGGGGGGGGGTAGAATATACTGATATGGAGGAATAAGTAGATTATTTTTTAAAGTTCAAATGCTAATCCTGCATTTTAAAATTAGAAATATATGGGGATTAATAAAACACGACTCATTGTGATGTGTATTAGTGTCAAATTACCCACTAAGAAAGAAATATTTTACCTTAATTATTACATTGCCAATATCTGATGAGATGTTGACAAGGAAGAAAAACACAATTTTTAACAATTTCATCTCCGATTAGCCCGTGAATTTAAATATTTAAAAAATCTGTGATTAAGT